GGGCGGGGCCCTCTTTCCCCCCCCCTCCCGCCCCCACCAGGCTTCTGTGCAATCACAGGCTCCTAGCGCTGATTGTGGCCCTGCCTTCCAGCTGCTCCCCCTGCCCACACCAGGCTTCTGTCCAGTGCGCAGCTGGAAAAATCAGAGAATACTGGACATTGCACATGTCTGGTATTTTCTGATTTTTTTTAACTGGACCGAGAGCGCAAATACCAGATTGTCTGGACACCTGGCAACCCTACTTTGGAGTTCAGGGCAGGCCTCTGCTTCCTCCAGTGGCTGGGCCCTCACTGAGCTCCTGAGCTGGGCTTTTATCCTCCCTGCAGTGCCCTTGGGCTCCTGGGGAGTTAAAGGAGCAGGACTGGGTTCGGCCCACCCAGGCTTAGAGAGGGGTTCTTCCCCTTCAGGTCAGTGAGTGGCCACCTCTGCTCACTACAGTCACATATAGGAAGCAGAATTAAACTCAGTCTTCGATAAAGTCTGACAAGATGACAGCATAAGAAGATACAGCTGCAGGAAAAATACTAAATTACTGAAAACATTTGTCTGGTCTGATCTGGCAGCAAACAGAATACCAGACTAGATGACTATATGGTCAGTGGTGGACATTCATTGGACAGCTGTAAGGATGATGTGGGAGGCACAGGCCTGCATTCTCTCCCCCTGCAGCCCCCCCCCCCAGCCCCGGGGTGCCCAGAGACACACTCCTTTTGGAAGCCAGCCACTTGTAGATACAGCATAGCTGGCAGGTCTGGTCCTAACAAATTGATGGCCCCAGGTGACTGCCCAGCTCACCCGTAGGGTTGCCAGATGGTTTAAAAAAAAACCCAGAAATTTGTTGAGCAAAAAAAAAAGGAGGGGTTGGGGAATAACAAGGAAAAACCCACCGGGGAAAATTTGTTGAGCAAAAAAAAGGAGGGGTTGGGGAGTAACCAGGAAAACCTGGGGGAAGGATTCGGGAGGTCGGGCCAAAATGTGGTTGCCCCTAAGACCAGCTCTGTTGGCAGCCCAATGAAAATGGCCTGGCTCACCTGCCCCTAAGACTGGTTCTGATAGCTGGGACCATTTTCCTCCAGCCCCAGCCCATACGATCATGGCAGACTGGAGGAAAATCTTTGGTGAGCTGGATGTGGTGCACAGGCCATATTTTGTCCACCCCTACTATAGGTCCAGTCTAGTGGGATATAAATAATTATACTGGACTGCATGGATCACTGTATTCATATCCAGCAGTATAGCCTGCAGGATGCTGTTCTAGATACTGCACCGTTAGTCTGAGCTAGCCTGGGAGGAGGCAGAATACTGAACTAGACAATCTGTTTGTCCAATCAGGAATGGTAGGTAGCAGCATGTCAAATTAAATGGGTGACTAGTTTGGTCTAGTATGGAAGGAGGCAGGATTATTAGATCAGAAAGATTATTGGTTTGTGCTGACGTGGCAGGAAATTACTAGACTGTTTGTTTCACTTGTTTGTTCCATTATGGAGGCTCATATGTTCTCCTGATTGAGCCCTATAGTCCCTTGTGTCATCTGAGCCTGCTGCTCTTCTCACTTGTCTTTGGACAATGGAACCTTTACACTGTTAAAAAATCGATCATAACTGACCGACGTTCACCAGATGTGACATCAGTGCCTGAGGCATTAAACTCCGTTAGCCCAAATTTGATATCCAGTCTCAGTTGGCGGTTTCTGCCCAGCTCTGTGTTTGGTGTTGGCACAGTACAGGAGCCGAGCATTTTCAGCCCTTCCTCATCTATGTACTTCGCAGCCTTCTTTTCTGTGCAATAGAAATTGAAATCCGCAATTGTCTGATCTGGCTCCATGGGTGTGAAAGTATAACTGGCAACCTCATCTACCGCTACCAAATCCCCAATTCCCACCAGCTTCTTGAAGAGATCTGTGCAATATTCATAATTATCTGCTTTTGAGACTCTCTTTTTCTGTGTGTCATGGACAGCAATATCAAATGTCTCACATACCGCTACTCCGTATGTCAGAGCACTGATTCTTGAGGCAACAATTTGCTGATTGTGCCCAAATAAAACGGCCCCCTTTACAATAGCTGCCTGAGCTTCCAGTGGGCAAAGGATATAGTACTGCTCCCTAAAGATCTCGTAGATCTCCTCCCTCAGGATAATGCTGGAAGCAAAGCCTCCAACCAGTAAAATATATTGGACCGTGGTCATCTCAGGCTTGCTGAGGATTTCCAGCAAAATATTAATGGTTCGTCTGATACTGTAGGCAAAAAAGCTCTTCATTTTTTCATATTTAATCATGATAGTCCCATCACACCACTCAGCTCCCTCCACGCCCTTGAAGAAGTGGGAGATGTCTCTGTACTTGCGTTCTGCCACTCTTGTGAGGTTGTGGTAGCAATGTATGTAGAGATCATCTTTGCTGGAAGAGCATTTTTGAAGCCCAAAGTTGTACATCATCTGCTGGCATTCTGTTGGGTGATTCTGCACATATTCATCCCATACTCCTTCGTGGAAGATCTCCTTCAGGAACTCTTTGAAGTTTTCATCCACTGTGCTGCCTCCCCATCCTCCTCCCGACGCCTTATGTAATTCTTTCAGGGATTGATTCTTTTGGATTTCATGTGCTGTGATGTCTATGGTGCCACCTAACACCCAAAATGAATAAAATTAGTGAATTTTTAAAAGAAGTCAGTGCCTTCACTTTAGCTGAATAGAAGGCTGATTTCTAGAGTCAGTCCCTACCTTTACAAAAAAAATCTCATGATTGTCAAATGTGCTCTAGAAATTGGGATTCAGACCTGCTCATTCTTTAGGTCATAATCTTTCTGTATCCAGGGACTCTTAATTTCTGTATGCTAGACACTACGAAACATATGTCGGTGTCCTCAAACGCAGCCGAAAGTTGGTAACAGCTGTGAGATATGACCATCTGTTGGGTATTCAGGGGCCTGTAGGAAATGAATTGGTGAGTCAAACTCATCCAGTGAGTGAGTGTCCACATCCTAGTTGATACTAAGTCCATTGTGGGTAGTCTGCGGAGATGTCAGAACTGAGTAGGTGTGAAAACTGACCTCTTGTGATATTCGGGCTCTCCGGCAGAGTTGGGGCACTATGAGAGTGGCTAACAGACTTCACCAGGCAAGGTGGGGGTGGTGACTCCACACCTCCAGAATAGGTGGGGAATTAGGCAGGAAGGGGCAGGGCTCCGGCAGCAATTTAAAGGGCCAAAGGCTCTGGGCCTCTGCTGTTGCCACTGTTGCAGCGGTGGCAGGTGGGAGCCCTTTAAAATCACTGGACCATGGAGCAGTTGCCCACTCCCCTTCCTGTTGGCAGGCCTAGGCATAATGCTGAGCACAGGGTGTCTGCAGGAAGCTTGCACTGCTGCTGCCCATTCTGAGCTTGTTCTAAGGGAAGCAGTGTCGTGTCTCACAGGGATGTCAGTCTTTCATCAGCACTAAGGTCACGTGTTACACCAAATAAGACCTAGAAAGTAAAGCAGCTGTTTGGCAGCACTGGTGCTCCTATTGCAGGAGGTTGTGGATTCAAGCTTCACCACAGGAAGGGGGTGTGTGTGTACCCATTGCTGATGTAACAGGGCAGTGCCCAGTGGAGTGGTGTGTCTCTGATGGCAGCAGCTTGCACTGCTAGAATCTGAGCTAAGGTGCATTGAAGATAATAGACTCTGAGGGTATGTCTACACTCCAGCGGTATTTCAAGTTATCTTAATCCAAAATAGTTAATTTGAATTAAGCTAATTCGAATTAGCGCGTCTACACGCAAAATGCAGTTCGAATTAGCATTTTGCTAATTCGAAATACTGCATCCACATGGACTGGACAGAGAATCAGATTTAAGGCCAGCCAGAACCAGGTCAGGCAGGGCATCAGGTCAGGAGTTTGTGTGTGGCTGCTGCCTGAGGCTATCTGATGCCTGTGCTTAAAGGGACACTCCCCCTCATCTCCCAGGCAGCCGGTTCTCAGGTGTCCCTGCTTGCTTGCCTGCCTCAGTGAGGGACAGCAAAGCATTTGTGTCTCTGCGTGCTCTGGTAGCCCTCACTCAGGACACTGCAACACGGAGCCGGAGCTGCCCCTGGGCACTCTGGTACTTCTCGTGGATGTGTGCTGCGAGCCTGGCTGCACTTTCTGCAGGCTGCCATCCTGGAGGTTTATCAGGGGACTGTCAGTATCCAGGAGGCCCTGCAGGAGAGCTTCCACCCTGACGAGCACTAAGAGCCTCCTTGGTGTGCCCCACTGGGGGCCTGTGCCTCATTCCTCCCTCCTTCCACTTACCCCTTCCTAGCCCCCCCCTTCCGAATGTCAAATAAAAACACATTTTTTGCCAAAAACAAACTCTCTTTATTGACAGAAACTGGGGTGGGAATGAGGGTGGGAGAGGGGAGGGGGAAACCTGGAAGGAGGGAGCTGGAAGGGGGAGGCAAGGGGAGGAAGAGGGAGGAGAAGCTCAGGGTTGGGGGTCTTGCCGGACCAACTTGATTTTCATGCAAACCTGCTCCTGGGTTCACATGTGGCCTTTGATAGCCAGGCTGGCAGCTTTCCTGCCATAGACGACCTCGTACCTCTGCCTAGTGTGGAGATCATGGACGTTGGGGGCATCCCCCCAAACCTGAGTATGGTCCACCCTGATCTCCACCCTAGACCAGGAAGGTGCCCACCTTCTCTGGGCCCTGGCAGGCTCCTGGAAGCTGGCAGACTGCTCCTGGGGTGCAGTGGAGGGATGGCTGCCAGTGGCTTGCTGGCTCATGTTTTGGGGCCACTGGGTTGGGGCACCGGCAGGCTTGGAGCTGGCACAGGCAGTGTGGCCAGAGTCTGCCCTTTTAAGGGCTCCGGGGCTGGGGGGAGGGAGAAGAGTTTTCCTGGTTTGGCCCAGAATGGCCACCAGGGGGAACTGGGAAGGCTGGAGGCCCCCTATTTCAGAATAAGCATTTACACAGCGCTTATTCTGAATAAGCTAATTCGAGTTAGGCATTATTCCTCGTAGAATGAGGTTTAACTAACTCAAATTAAGCTCCCCGCTATTTTGAATTTAATTTGAAATAGTGTTTTGCTTGTGTAGATGCTATGGAAGTTAATTCAGAATAACAGTTGTTATTCTGAATTAACTCTGATGTGTAGACATACCCTTACTGATTTCAATGAGAAACCAATCAGGCCCTTGCAGGGGCTTTGCTTTCATCCCCCTTTCTGCTTCTCTCAAAGCTACAAAGGGAGGGGTTTAGTTCACACTGAGTTGATATGCACTCATTGGTGCCCAATAAGTAAGATGTACTCATAGTGTGAGCATAGGTATACCTGTGACATCTTTCAGTTCACACCATTGTGTACACCTGGCAGGGGTTTGACGTACACTAAGTGCGCAGCATCTCAAATGGGTATCTCAGTCCTTTGTGCTGCTGCTGAGCTGCGTGCTTTCTGGGATTTGTCTCACTGTACATAGTGGGATGCATAGCAAGCCAAAGGAATTCTGGGATTTGGGGTCAAATTCACAAAACTCATGATTCTACTCCCTCTGTCCTATGCTTCCACTCTTTCTAGGCAGAACAGTGCCATTTTTGAGTTCCCATTGGCCAGCAAGGATGCATGCCAGTACGCTGGCATCTGCAAACACACTGAGCCTGTCTGGGTTTTATTTGTGCTCTTCATGACAGGTGGCTTCAGATTTGGAACTTTGGAATCCAGTTGCTGTACCACTGAACAATTGATGTGGCTATAACAGCAGCTTGTCAAGCAGCAGCTGGGAAAGGAGGACAAGGACAAGGCGAGCACCATGCAACTGCTTCTACACAAGCTCTTCCTGCAGCAGCTTCATACAGTGCAACAGTTTCTTGGCTTGGGAAATCAGTATTGATTAGGGAGAGAAAATGTGCAGCTGTACATCCAGCTGTTATCCATGGGGAAAAGGATTAGGAGGCTTTTGTGAGCAATGAAGTTGCTTTTATGGGTTGTGCAAGTGGCACAATGTAGATCTTTTTATTTTGGCTCTGTGCTTTTGTAAGGACCTGCTGCCTATGAACATTTTTGCTTGTGTGTACCAGGCAAGCACTACAGAGTCCTTGTGACATTTCAAGAGTTTTTATCAGTCAAATAATGCCAGGACATAACAGCCAAAAATAAAACTTGACATTACACATTTTGCTCGCAGATACTGTAAAAAGGTGAAACAGGTTTAAAATGAAAAGATGGCCAAAATTCAAATACAGAAGGGTGGAAGCGGGGGGGAGGGAGGGACTGCTATTAACAGGCAAATGAACATCATCTTGCCTGTGATGTTCTTGTCCTTCTGCCTTCTGGGGTTGGATGTCAGGGCTCAAAGTTGCCAGATTATTGAATGGTTCAAATGTGCTGGACTCCCATGTAGTGGTGATATTGTTGCCTGGATCTATGGCTGGGAATGGCCTCTGGAAACATGACTGCGGGATTATCTTCTGGTGTTCCCAGTTCCCTGTACTATCCAGGGGCTGCAGAATATGGCTGGGTTCTGGTTGGGAGCACTGCATTGTCTGAGGGCCTAAGAGCAGCATGTGCTGTGCATTGCTTTTAGGAATCGTTTTTTCATAGCCCTATCTTACTCCACAGTGTCTCTGCTAACGACAACACTGTCCCAGGCCACATCTCAAGACAGCTGTCTGTCTTTTCCCCTCTCTGATATCAAACATACTCTGGAGGTCTCTGTAGTTTCATTTTCCCCTGAGGAGCTTTAAACATCTTGTCTCATTAGATCTCCTATTCTTCCGTATCAAACTGGGAAGTCATTGGTAAAGGCCCTGTCCTTGAGGGCCTTTCACTGCTTTTCACTGTCTTTTCACTGCTGCAGATGCCATGGTTTCAGGAATAGAAGAAAAAACAAGTGATTTGTGTTCATGTTATGGCTATTTCCATACAAACAATTTTCTCTTTCTCAATTCCAATCTCCTGAGATTCATCCCAGACATGAGGGGACCTCAGAGTTAAGTGGCATGTGCATGAGATACAAGCTGATTGTCCAGTGGGTACAACTGCCTTCTGAAAATGTGTTTTGGGGGGTGGCAGATCAATGGATGACTGTATAAGGGACAGTGGATGAATGGTTGGGGCTCCTAGATCACATCTACCCCGATGGAAGTGGTCATGAGGCATCCAGAGAAGAATTTAGTACAGAAGTATAATAGAATAATACATTGTACAGACAGACAATGGGTAACTTACATGCTGAAGTTCCTTTGGTAGGATCTATAGGATCTTTCTCCTGTGTTGGAGGCTAGGAATTGGGCTGGCTTCCTACACAGCTGTCCTTAGAGAGCCGAGTGCTGAAGAGATCCTGTCTTTTTTTTGAGATCTCTTCAGTGGCCTCATCATCATTCTCTGATGACTCTTACTCATTCTTGGGAGTTTGAGCCCCACAAGGGCATTGGGTTCTGCAGTGGCCTGCCAGCTAAAAATCCTGTCCAGCTTCAACAGTTCAAGCAGTCAGTGGCAGATTTTCTTCTGTCATCCCTGGTTCCCCTGCACATTTTTCTTGTTTCCTTTTTGTACGACACTACCAGGTGTCCAGCTGAGGCCCTTTCCAGCATTGTTTTTTGAGATCTCCTTAAACCTGGGGTAGGCAAAAGCCTCTCAGAGGGCCAGATCCGGCCCACCTAGGGCTTTGATCTGGCCCACAAAGCAGTTCCAGGCCCTGTCCCATAGCATGTTGCCTCAGAGTGGAAGAGGGGCACAAGCCTTTCTAACTGCTTCTATTTAAAGGGCTCATGTCTTCCCCATGCCTTGCCTAGCGGCCATGGGGAAGGCGCAAGCCCTTTAAATGGAAACAATTGAAAGGCCTGTGTCTCTGGCTCCCTAGCAACACGCTAGTGGCACAGGGAGCTTCAAGCCCTTTTGAAGTGCTTCTATATAGGGGGCTAGTGCCTTCCCTGCACCTGTCAGGCTAGGCATTGCCTAGCAGCCACGGGGCACACGAGAGCCCTTTAAATAGAAGCACTTAAAAGGGCTTGCAGCTCCCAACACCTCTAGTGCATTGCTAGGGAGCCGGAGATGCGAGCACTTTCAACTGCTTCTGTTTAAAGGGCTTGCCTGCTGGGTGGCTGCGTTGCCTTGCAGCCACCCAGCAGGCGTAATCCCTTTAAACAGAAGCAATTGAAAGGGCTCACAGCTCTGCCCCACTGGCCCATTGCCTGGAAGCTGCCCAGAGGCACGAGCCCTTTCAACTGCTTCTATTCAAAGGCCTTGTACCTGCTGGGCAGCTGCCAGACAACAGATTAGCAGTGGGGGCCAGGAGCTATGAGCTCTGTTATATGAATTGTAAGCCTCCACCCCAGGCAACTCTAGGAGGAGGTTAGCCCCCAGCACCCTCACCTCAGCTCCAGGTCCCTTCCATTGGCTAGAGGTCAGGGGGCAGGGACCCCAGGCCAAGCTAAAATCCTGGCAGGATAGCTCTCAACCCCACCCCTTCCGCCCAATGCCCCGCCCCTTCCAGGTTGGCCCACAGCCACTTCCGAAATTTGTGAAATGGCCTGCCCTTCAAAAATGATCACCCATCCCTGCCTTAGACAGTCTCTTATTACCAGGGCTCAACAGTGCTCAACCAGGTGCAGCGCGCCAAACCGCGTGGCTGGCGAGCAGGGCTCGCCGCCTCTTGGCAAGCCCTGCTTATTATGATAGCTGGTCACAATAACTGCCTACACTGCCTACAAGGATCCCACCATGGCTGCTTGACACGTTGTCAAGCTGCTGGACTAGTATTTTGGGAATGCGGATAAATTTGAAGCTGGGAGAAAATGGGTTGATTCTGGCTCTAAATCTGTTTGTAAATAGCAGAGGGGACATCTGGTCAACTTGATTTCAGAGCACTGGAGGGCATACAGGTTAACACCGTGGTCCCCAACCCAGGGCCCGCGGGCGCCATGGCGCCCGCCGGGCTCTTTACATGCGCCCACGGAGCCGTGGTCCCCAACCTGGGTGCGTCACGTGTGCCCCGGTCCCGGCCCCGGCACTGGCCCCGGCCTTGGCCCCGCCCCCGGGGGCACTGCGCATGCCCTTGCCGGCTCCGGCACCGGCCTT